ATTAAAAAAAAGATATTAAATAATGAAAAAAATAACAAATAAATTTTTTTTAATATTAAAAAAATTTTTTTTAATTTTATCTTTGATAAGTTGTTCTTTCAACGATATCTTTAACTTTTTTGTATAATATATATTTTTCCTTTGTTATTGGTAATAATTCTATATTGTCTTCATATGCTGTAGCTATTTTTTTTATAATAAAATGTAAATTATAACCTGATAAATTGTGGAAAACTTGTGGGAATAAAATACGAGTTTTTATAATTTAATTGCAATTTGATTGCGCGGGACTACTGTAAGGATCAATTAAATTATAATGATCACTTACTCGATTATCGTCGTTAAAAGGCTTTTCGAACATTTGACAATTCGTCGCGCTGCGTAATGTTTCCCACTGTTCGCTCAACAAAGTTTCGATGGGGGCATTAAATGCTAACATTTTTTTTACGCTAAACTTTTCAGTTTTTTGATGAATTATGAAACGCAATCAGGATCGCGATGATCGATATTTTGATAGCGAATCGTGGTACGAATAGCATAGTATCCTATGCTAAATACTTGATGATGATGTTGATACGTGTGCATAGATATTTCTTGATCGCTATTAATTTTTTCGAGGATACATTCTAGATCAGTGTAAACGACAATTGGAACTCATTCCTTTCTATTATAGTTGATAAAACTGAACCACTTGTCGTCTTCGCTCGGTAGTCGGATAGCGCAATCGTTTATCCGTCGGCAATCTACTATGTGTGACTGCAATCTCTCGTTGGAATGAAAATAATGTAAATAGCTGCAAATAAAAATAAATAATTTTTTTTTAAAGAAAAATTCGCTTTTATTAATCATATACTTACCGATCGCAAATATACTTTTGATCATGATGTTCAATTGCAAGCTCATGAGCCGAGACAGATTCTTGATCCATACAAAATGGCTCACATCGTCTCACGGATCTTCAAATATAGTAAACTGACATGTTTCTCCTTTTTGTCATCAGCGATTGTATCGGGAGAACATTTAACGTTTTCTGTCCCTCGATACCGTATACATTAATGGACACGTCATTGAAATTTCGTTACGTCTTTTAATGTTATAGGAAATTCTATATTTTGGAAACTCAGCGCTACTTGACTGAAATCTCGATCCATGTTTACAATGATTAATTAACAGTAAGAATTCGCTCTTTAAAATTTCAACGTATTATAATCTGGCACATTTCTAGACTGAATTTATTTTCGTCTGTAACTCCCTCTTTTCAGAGTAGAGTATTATGCGCTCATTTTCAAAGTATGCTTCAAAAAACGCTCCATCCTCATAAAAATTTATGAAAATATAATTCTCAATATCGAGTTTCATTTAAATTTACATTTTTACTTTACCTTGAAACACATTGCAAAAATATGTTCGATTGTCATGTCCCCTTCTAAAAAAAAGAATCAATGATCAAGGCTCTATTATCAAGGGAGGGAGACATTACGTTTCAATATCATCGATTTCGATAGCAGCCAGATGTTGACTCATTCAATCGATTAATTATGAAACTTAGTCGTATTTATTTAAAATAATTAATAAATGTTGTTTCTAGAAAAACATTATGCCATATCTTGACCGGTTGGAGCATATACTGGCGAATAGTCTTTATAACTTTTCGTTTTACAACTATTTATTTTTTGTGTTGTTTTTTGTTCATAGCAATATTCTCTTTTTTGTGATGTTTTGTTACTTGTACGTGACTGCAGTCCCCAAAATCTGTGATGTCTTACACTTCGCATAACGTCATATCCTCACTTCCAAAGAATTTCTCGAGCTCCGCATTCCCCTTGGAGTTCCCAAATTAGAACTCCCATAGAATTACTACTTCTAGTATGCACATACCTACATAAATCGGCTTGTTGAACTTCATCTCGAGTCGATTTGCGCAGTTCAATGGCGATCAAATTTTTCGCAAAAACGTTATGATTGTGGAAATTCGGTTTGGCGATCATTGCCTTTATGTCATACTGTCCCATTTTGTTTCTAATTTTACATCGCGATTTCGAACATTTTCCATAGTTTTATCGAATACTGCATTGTTCATTAATTTGTATAATTTTTATTCGAAATCGTTTTTAGTGCGAGTTCTAAACTGTGTATTAAGTTCAATGTACTTACGAAGCCAGGCAGATTGAGCAAATTGTACTCGATGAATCCTTGTCACGTGAAGACCGTGACGAGTACATTGTTGCAAGTTTCGGTAGTGAATGACGTAACGCTGCTTATTTATAGCGTCCCTAGAAATTCATCTTCACATTTGCCGGATAGCTTATCGCATATCGGACAGAAAGGCAGGTCAGCATGTCGATTGTTCAGATGTGGATATTCGAGATCGACTTCGAGAATGTAACCGGTGGCGAATCCGGAACAGTCGCGCTTACGTCAAAGTTCGTCAAAGCGTCTTGGATCCATCGAAATTTGGCATATGGCAATGGTTGACATATCGCCTACTCGTATAAATTGTTAACAGTACATTATTAATCGTAGTACATTAAATATGACGATAGTTTCGATGAGCCATACGAACGCTTATTATTAGTCTGCCGTTATTATCTAATTCCGGAACACTAAGGCCATCGCATATACCGCGCTCGATGATCATATTAATGTCAGTGATCAACTCAAATCTTATATGCGTATGTTTTAACATTGCGTCCCACGTGAAACCAGGCAATGTGCAGGATCGAGATCATAATTTGCGACACAACTATTGCGGAAATTTTCGAAAATATCGGCCAATAACAAGATATTGGTTTTCAAGTAGATCTGTATTCATCGAACATTCGAATTAAGAATCGCTTCCACACATTCGCGGCGTGAGCGTAATCGCAATCACCGCAAGCATCGTTCATCCAATTTTTCGATGCAGTCAACGTATTTCATACAAAAATATGAGTATTCATTCAAATTTTTCGTCTGATAATGTTGAAAATTCCGAACGTACAATTTTTAATTTATCCTTATCGAGATATGACGCTAGATTTTCTAGTACTAAGGAACTTGTACGAATCAATAAATCGTAATTTGACGCAATTTCGAGATTCTTTTTCGGTGATATCTTGAACATGTTTCGTAAACAAGAGAAAATGTATTTTTCTTTTGTTATCGACAGTACATCTATATATTCATCCTCTACATATCCATCATATGTCGCAGCGATTTCTTTAATTACAAAGTGTGCATCGTAGTCCGATAAATTATGAAATACAATCGGAATATAGAATGAATTTTTATAATTAAAATTGCAATTTGCATGCGCTGAATCATAGTATCGCCCGGTGAGATGATAATGATCAAGGACTCGCGTGTCGTCCGGTGCGAACGGTTTCTCGCAGATGTAATACCGCGGCACACTACGGTACACCTCCCATTGTTGTTTCGACAATGCTTCCATGAGCACGTAAGTCGATACCAAATTTTTCACGCGATACACCAAGTCTTGAAGTTGCTACTCGAACCACACGAACCAATCGTTATCGCGACGGAATCGATACGATGATAACGCGTCGTTGTACGAGCATCGCGCATAGTATCTTGTGATGAATACTTCTGTTGATATGCGTATGACGACGCATCTTTCTTATCGAATTCCGTCTTCCGCAAGATGCATTCCAGATCAGCGTATATACGATGAATGGCACTCGTTTCTGCTTGTTATAGACAAATGGCTCAAATTCGTTGCCGAATTTGAGCCATTTGTCGTCTTCGCTCGGCAGTCGAATGGCACAGTTCATCTTACCACAGTTTTCGCTGTGAATCTTCAACTTTGCGTTGAAGTAATGAAGGCACCTGCAAATAAATAGAGAAATCATTTTTCTACTTCTTTTTACTGTTTTTTAAATATTGTTTTTTAACTTTTCTTATACTTACCGTTCGCAAAAATATTTCCTATTTTCGTTTCCGGTAATTTGTGATCTTACAAGGCAGGATAGATCTTTTATCCACACAAAGTGTCTAATGCTGTCGTTGCGTGAATCTTGTAGATATAATAGATTGACATGTTTGTCCATCTTGCCTGTGAGCCGTAGAGGAAGAATCTGCTTATCTTCGATGCTATACACGTTGATCGATATGTTGTTGAGATTTTCGAATTACGAAATGTCTTCGAACGTTATCGAAAGTTGAATGTCTGCGAGATTCAACACAGTATAATGCGAATGATTTTCTATCCACGTGACTTTTAACTGGATATAGAGTGGCTATCACCGACCACGCGAAGCATGCATTGTCCATCGAATGCACGTTAAGCATCTCTTTCTTTCTAAGTATAATTTCTTGCGACATCTCGAAATGACATCTCACGCGCATTGGATTGTTCTTATTAACATTCATTATCAAATTGAGAATTCGTGACGATGCTCACCCGCTGTCACGTTCCTGAAATTCATCCAGTGATGTCAAGAAGAGCTTGATGACGTGTCGCTCATACTACTCGCACACATTTGTTGTTCGAAGAAGTTCAAAGTTTTGGATGGCGATACTTATTAGCAATTTTATTGGTGCGTTTATCGCCCGCTACAAACTCACCGTTGAACACATGTTCACTTTCACACTGCCGTATCTTTCTACACGTGTCTCGCACTCGCTCGAGCACTGTGTCGCCAATGTCTTTTAAAAACCGTCATGACTCGATGAATAGAATTTATCATCGCGCCTCTCAATATACGATTCTCGAACGCTGTTTCGAAATCGCGCCATCGAAATCCATATTCGGCATCCACATGCACGAATCGTCCACGTACCGAATCCTTCAAACTCTCGAGCCTCGCGATACATATGATCACTGATTTTTTCTTGCCAATCGATAATCGCGGGCGTTTGACATGACTCTGCTCTTCCAAAGATTTTATGAGCTCATCGCATTATTGTTTATATGCGACGTTCTCTAGTATTTAACTGGGTCATTTACTCTATCAAATCGCGGTCCATGTTATCGCTTGCGTTGACGCGGTGCGTCTAAATCTTCTCATTCTATATCATTTACTTGGACACATGACATATCATTACATTGATGATGATGTCATCGCTCGAACATATTGTAACATCGAATATTCGTTTGATTACGCTAAACCTAATAAAATCGTCGGCGCTTGTGAAATTGCAAACGCATTTTTGTTGCATTAAATTACATCGATGATATCATAGCGAGACGCGTCAAATAACAAATATGATGCGATAAACACCTAGTGTAAGATTTATAATCAATATTCAAATATTAAACGTGAATTATTAGGTTAGTTACGCTTTGGATAATAATATTTATAGTATATGAAAAATAAAAATTATTACGAATATTTAAACTGTGTCTCAGCGTTTGAAATTATTCATTCCTTCCGTCTTCGTGATATCTATTCTTTTCTTTCCTATACATTCTTTGTATTATCATATTACATGTGCTGGTAG